GGACGTGCTACTATAACTGGGTTTTCAGGTTCCTCAGGTTGAGGACGTGCTATAGGGCGAACTTCGCTTTCAACTTCCTCATCAGTTGGTGCTGGTAAATTACCTGCTTGTGGTTAAGGAAGGCTTGGTAACACCACAGCTGACGCACCGGATTCAACTGGTGCAGGAAGAACTGAAGGAGTAAGAACCTAGAGTNCGTTATTTCTCAAAGGAGTTAAAACCATTTCATACGTACGATTCGTGCGCCTTTTTCCAATCGGTGCGAAGCAGTTTCAAGTTTTTCAAAGACGCTGGGAAAGCCTGATCGCTGCGGGGTATGTTGTAAGTAGGTGGGGTAGTATTGGGCCTAAGATACTTACTAAAATCGAAGCATCCTCGTGTACATATTGATTGCTAGCCACATATGTAAATGTGCAGATATATAAAATTGGTTCGATCGTGAACGAAAAGAGGGCATTAAGTATGCAAGTGGCGGTAGCATGCGTGCTAGTTTTACACAAAAGGGATGGGATTAGGAAGGTTACTTTAAAAATTACCTCAAGGCGTTTAAGGGAAAGCGTTAGCAAAAAGCGAAAGCTTTTAAAATAAATGTATCCGCTTACCGACACATGGGCGTAGTCAGAAGAAAAGCACCCAAAATAAAATATCTTAAAAATAACTCATTATTATAGAATTCACTGTAAACTTATCATTCATTGAAATTAAAAGCAAACATTAATGGATAATGTATACCTTCAAATAGAAATAAATGCGAGAATTCGTTCCTCTTAAGATACGTCGTCAAAACCCTTAAGATGCTTTAGAAGTTATACATATATCTTTGGCGGGTTAAGAATCTGCCAACGATAAGTGCAACTGATGGACATGATCGAAAGTATTTTTTAAGAAAGTCAAATTAAATATCTAAATAGAAGATCCCATTTGATTTAAAACGTGGTTATCAATAAGTATAACATAACCCAGAACCATTCACTGAGCCAAGCTAAAGAGCTTATGCTTCAAGGTAAGGAAGGGAAGTAAAAAGACCCATTGTCAGTAAAACCTAACCTTATTTTCTAAGAGGAAGCACTTATAACTAAGAGCACGTGAAAAAGAAACGCAATTTTAATTTTTGTAATACATCATGTCGCTTTCAAATGAGCAAGAATACCAGTGGTAGGAATAGAAACTACATTGCTTGCTTAATGTGGGTACCAGTTATCATTGGGTGTGTTCCGAAATATAACCCGGTAAACTGGCCAGTGCTGATGACGTCGTGAATCGAAGCCATACTTTTGTTTCGTTCCGAAATATACTGGCCAGTGCGTTGACGTCTAATTGACGCCATATTGAGAATAGTGTTTGTGCTCGTTTACAACAACTTTGCTCCAAAAGTTATTAACGTTTATTACAATAAAAAATTGTCCAAACTCTGAAGCACACACGCCCGTTTGATATACTGTTACGACACACTTGTTTCACCAATACAATATGGTGGCACACCAGTACAATATGGCGTCGATTCATGACGTCATCAGCACTGACCAGTATGCTGGGTTATATTTCGGAACACACCCATTGATGATACTTCTTCGACTAAAATTTGAATTTTTAAATATTAAACAATATTTAGATTTAAACGTTTATCAGCGAATATCTTTTAGCAAAAATGACCAACATTTTTTTATCTTTACAACATTTAGGTAGAAATTTGATAAATAAGTATTTCCTTTTTGAACATCACGATTTTTTTATTGCAATTTTTTCTTCATTGCTTTTGCTTATCTTCAAATATTTCCGCTGTCTACTTCTATCTAATCGTACGAATTTGTCGGCTTGCCATTTAATTAAGTATTATTTGTTGCATTCCATGATTATAAATTTATGATCATATTTAATGTACATTTTATACAATATGTGTTAAATATATCCTTTTTTATTGCACAACAACTAATAAATCAACAGTTTATAATACAAAGTATTTTATTGATTATTAATAAAATGGCTTTAAGGACTTACTAGCATGTCTATGAAATAAATTTAGTCGCAGAATTTTCGATTTTACAGTACAATAAGACTTTCTATATTTGCATGCTTTTGGCCATGATGATAATAATAAAAAAATATGATTTAAGAATAAAAGAAACTTTTACCATTTCGTTTTTGGAGCACACTTTCATCTTCTTCTTTTTTACTGTGGTCATTCTTTTTCTCTTTTTTTTTTTATAAAAGGAAAAGTTCTGTTACATCTCAATCAACATGCGAAAACAACAGTCGATATGGTCTGACTGGATTTCGTAAAAGCACAGAGAGACTTCTCTACTGAAGCCGTTATTACATTTGGTTTTTGCGCTTCGCAAAACAAATTTTTAATCAAGACAAAATAAAGCTTCTTTTATACAACTGCATTATCAAAATTCCCTTTGAACCTCTACAAAATAATGTTGCTTAACGAAAAAGGGATTTTCTTCTCAACCAGTATCTCCAGAACAAATCCATCAATAATACTGACTGAACCTCAAACAATGCACAAACAAAATCAATTTTTATTTGTAGTTAAAAAGGTATAGTTAGTGACTAATTTTTCTGTACTTTGAATGCTTTTCTCTGGGATCTTTAGTCGCAAAGTTAGAGAAGTTTGAAATTAATAATTTTTTGTACCACTTTATTAATTATATATAGCACAGGTGTATTTTATTAAACTGAATAGCTATATTTTATTTATTTGTCATAAAGGATAACACAAAACACAGTTTAAAAAATAGCCGAATTTATTTAGACTTAAAAGGTATGCAAATGGATCTTAAAGTTACCCCTGCCAGTAGTTTATGCATTTAGTCGATTTCTGGGATTTCGGAGCTCAACACACGCTTCTGTTTATTCTATGGAAGCCTAAGATTAAAGTTGAGTCCCTACTTATCGTCCGGGATCACGGGCTACCGGTTGCCCTTTGTAAATAAACCAATCCCGAACACAATGGTCTCTCTAATTTTGAACAAATAGAAGCCGCAAGCCCTTACAATTCTTGTTTTAACGTTAACATTCACGGAATAGGAAGATCCAAAATTTCATTAAAAAAATCACAGTGCTTTCCCAGTTTCAATACTTTGATTAATTTCCCGGAATTTATTTGTGGAACTCTTCTAAGTCATTGTCAATCATTAAATTATGAAGGACATTAGGTTTTTAGTTAATAATTTACTTGAACCAGAACTGATAAATAGCATCTGCAACAATCTATTCCCAAATTGAAGAATGAGTTGCAAATAAACATACCGAGATGTGGAGCAACACCAAAAGATGCGGAACAACCAAAACCTTTCATTAAACCCGGTGAGATGGAGGCAAGTGTGAAGCAAATACTGATTTTAAGTAGAAAGGACGTAAGGACTGTGATAGTTATTAGTTACGACGCTTTCTGGAAATACAGATACATAATGGAACTCAAGGAGAGTCCTAACTGTAGATTCTTTATTGAGACAGATGAAGCACCGCTGCACATCATCGACCATTGCCTTGCATTACCGAAAAAGAGGCACCAATACCCAGTTGACTCCTACTAAGTAAAGTGCGTCAGAAGGATCTTCCTATTTTAGGAGTATATGTTTGAGTAACTTCACTCGGTGACTGCTGAACGTCAAGGGACTATTCATGCGTCTGGAGGCAGAATTTCGATGACCCAATTGTTATTATTTAATAAATAATAGTAATACTATTCTGTTGACGTCTTTTTGACAATAAGGGATCTTTATTAGCTATTTGGACGATCATTTTCTAACCTTTTTCTACAATATCATTAAAATTACAACAAGATTTTCATATCACTATGCGTAGCGTTTGACACAAATAAATAAAACAGAGAAAATACCCAAACAAAAACAAATGAAGATATATATTTAATGTTTAAAAAGGAACGTATTACATAATTTTGAAGTCTTAACGGATCCAGTTACTAGCAATTGCAGCAGGAAGAACAGCAGCTGTTTCTGGTTGACCAAGTTGACTACTGACGCCAATTGGTACACGAATGTTGAGTTTGAGTCGCCTTTGTTGGCTTGAGGTTCTTCAGGGGAAGGACGTGCTACTATAACTGGGTTTTCAGGTTCCTCAGGTTGAGGACGTGCTATAGGGCGAACTTCGCTTTCAACTTCCTCATCAGTTGGTGCTGGTAAATTACCTGCTTGTGGTTAAGGAAGGCTTGGTAACACCACAGCTGACGCACCGGATTCAACTGGTGCAGGAAGAACTGAAGGAGTAAGAACCTAGAGTACTCCTGGACGAATCACTGCAGCCTGGGTTGCTGAAAAAGTATCGAGCAAATTGAAACGAAAATTAAATGCATTATTAGTCGAAAGGAAATTTTGGCTTACCCCCAAGGACGCAAAGAATAATTGCAAACAAAGCTGCTGTCTTTTTTTTAGATTTTTTTTTTAATTTTGCAAGTGCAATATTTCTCATACAAAAAGAATCGTCTAACTATTATCGAACTATTAAACGGATCTCAAAAATTCTTCAATTAAAGGAAACCCACATAATCCCAAAGTAGTAAAGGCTACAATTTCATTTATTATAATAAAAATAAGTTTCAGCTCAAAATTATAATCATATGATTCAAAATTTCGTTCATCTGTCTGGGGTGTTACGTAAAGGCTTTTCTAAAGAAATACCTATTAAAACAGGTATAGGTAATACCTACATTTATCAGAAACATTTATGGTTAAAATGGGCTTTATCGGATCTAGATACAGGTACTTGAATTTAATATTTTAGATAAGCTTTAGCAAAGTTATCGGTAATTCACGAACGATAAGTAACAACAAGGTATATAAGGTAGAATATTTTCACAAAGATCATAGTAACCACAAGTCCAAAACATTAAAGACAAAATGGTAGCAGCAATCTTCGTACTCGCTCTCAGCGTCCTAGGAGGTTAGTAAAAAAATTTTCTATTAATATAATAATAAACAATTCAAAAACGGTACAGGCAATAAATATGCATATGATTAAATAAGCAGTTTGAAATGAACAGCAGCATAAACTTAATAATCCCCTTGCAGCAGCTCAAGCTGCCGTGGTTCGACCATCGGTCCTTCCAGCTGAAGGTGCACCCGTTGTCCGTCCCGTGGTATTACCCGCCCCAGTCGAAGAGGAATCTGTTGTCCGCCCAGGAGTCTTACCCGCCCCAATTGAAGAGGAATCCCTTGTCCGTCCTGGAGTATTACCCGCCCCAATTGAAGAGGAATCTATTGTCCGTCCCGGAGTATTACCCGCCCCAATTGAAGATGGATCAATTGTCCGTCCCGGAGTATTACCCGCCCCAATTGAAGAGGAATCTATTGTCCGTCCCGGAGTATTACCCGCCCCAATTGAAGATGGATCAATTGTCCGTCCCGGAGTATTACCCGCCCCAATTGAAGATGGATCAATTGTCCGTCCCGGAGTATTACCCGCACCAATTGAAGATGGATCAATTGTCCGTCCCGGAGTATTACCCGCACCAATTGAAGATGGATCAATTGTCCGTCCCGGAGTATTACCCGCACCAATTGAAGATGGATCAATTGTCCGTCCCGGAGTATTACCCGCACCAATTGAAGATGGATCAATTGTCCGTCCCGGAGTATTACCCGCACCAATTGAAGATGGATCAATTGTCCGTCCCGGAGTATTACCCGCACCAATTGAAGATGGATCAATTGTCCGTCCCGGAGTATTACCCGCACCAATTGAAGATGGATCAATTGTCCGTCCCGGAGTATTACCCGCACCAATTGAAGATGGATCAATTGTCCGTCCCGGAGTATTACCCGCACCAATTGAAGATGGATCAATTGTCCGTCCCGGAGTATTACCCGCACCAATTGAAGATGGATCAATTGTCCGTCCCGGAGTATTACCCGCACCAATTGAAGATGGATCAATTGTCCGTCCCGGAGTATTACCCGCACCAATTGAAGATGGATCAATTGTCCGTCCCGGAGTATTACCCGCACCAATTGAAGATGGATCAATTGTCCGTCCCGGAGTATTACCCGCACCAATTGAAGATGGATCAATTGTCCGTCCCGGAGTATTACCCGCACCAATTGAAGAAGACGTACCAGAAGAGGGAGCAGTGATCCCAGTCGATCTTCCAGAAGTTGTCAGTGTACCAGAACCCTCAGATTCCAGCGACGATCAAGCCGTTGAATTGAAATTGAACATTCGCGTTCCAATTAGCGTTAGCAGGTCTCTCCCCACCGTCAATGGCGTCTCCGGAAATATTCAAGACGAACCCGCCCTCCCGGCTCACCTTCAAGACTGGATATTTTAAATATTTCCCAACTGAGTTCAGTTTGGACCCGACCAATCACATATAAACATGTTCATTGGTCATTATAAAAAATGTTAACCATTGAAATATGAATAAATATTCTAGTGCTCGTTACAAATTTGTTTCCTTTTTTTTTACACTAACATAACATTACATGAGTATCCAATTCTTTCTGAACTCATTGAAATTATCCATTGATTTTGATAGCGTACAGCATCAAAAACTAACTCCTGAAAGTTAATAAGGATAAGCTGGATAAGTAGGTGGTTCCTCCCTTGCGAAGACCAAAAGGAACTTTACAAGAACGACTTGATTACACAATAAATGTTATTTAATGTTGGAAACCACGAACTGCACGATTTACATTGTAAATTTATGTATATGCTCCAACATCTGGGAGACAAATGCATCTTTGTCCTTTGCTGAAAGGACTAAATGTACCCGTATTAATCCTATTATACTTGCTAAATTTAATTCAAAGGAAATTCGCAAAACAACCGCTGTGTCACTTGAAACAGAACGAAATTTGTTATTAATTAGTTCTATTTCATCACTAGTTCGTTGTCTTGTAGTATCCACTGGAAATTCATAACAGGAATTAAAAAATAATTAAATTTTCTTTTCATAAAATAAATAAATAAAGAAGTAGAAGAAAAGTTTGAAGTAGGTAAAACCGATGAGTTTTATAATACAATGAAAAGGAATTTTAGAGAAGTAGGGTACAGTAGTAATAATATAACAAACGAGTCAGGGATCATTTTAATAGAAAATGAGGAAAACGCAGATAGGTGGAAAAAATATTTAGAGAACCTATACGCAGGCCATGGAGATATATTAGAGATGGAAGATGGTGTGGAGATAGAGGAGCTAAGTTATCCCATAATGAGAGAAGAGTTCAATGTTAAGAATAATAAAGCGTCAAGTATTGATGGGATACAGGCGTAAATTCTAAAACATGCAGGACAATAGCTTAGACATCGTATGTTTAAGCTAGTTAGTCACATTCACGAGATGGGGAAAGTCCCAGAGGATTATAAACAGAACGTGGTAGTAACCATACCTAAAAAGAGAGGCGTGGATAGGTGCGAGACATTTAGAACAATTACCTTGATTTCCCATGCCTCAAAAACCTACAACTAGAATTGTACAGAAGAGGATTGAAAAAAGGGCGGACGAACTATTAGGGGAAGATCAATTTGGGTATAGAAGAAATAGAGGAACGCGTTAGGCCATTCTAGCTTTTAAATTTAGAAAAGGCTTTTGACAATGTTAAATTAGACAAGATATTAAATATGATTAAAAATGTAGAAAGATAAAAAGCAACAGGCAGTTATAGACCTGGGTCTGCAACGTAAAGAAGTAGATAATAGGAAGGGAGTCAGTCAGGGATGCACACTGTCACCGCTACTTTTTAATCTATACATCGAAAACGCGATCAACATCATTAAAGACAGTACAACTGTAGGGATATATATACAGGGGCAAACGATTAGTATGCTTAGATTTGCAGATGATATAGCAGTAGTAGGATCTAGCAAGGAGGAATTAAAGATAGATTTAAATAAAATGGAGGAGGTGTTGAGAAAACAGTATCGTAAGAAAATGAATAACAGTAGAACAAAAGTACTGGTTTGCAAGGAAAGAAAAGTAAGGAAAAAGCGAATATAAAGATAGGAGACGAAGAATTAGAAGAAGTGGCTGATTTTAGGTATCCAGGAAGTCAGATAAGTCAGGACGGAAGGAGTAGCAGGGATATAAAGCAAACGATAGCTCAGGGCCGAGTCGTCTTCAATTAAAAGAGTATGATCCCGAGACAAAGAGGCAAACTTCCGAGTGGCACACGCCGGCGTCTTCTCGCCCAGATGTGGCCCCCCCTCCCGGACTTTTTTATGT